AAAACGTATATTGTGTGATTTATATCATGAGTTAATTACTATAAGTGAGCCAAGACAGTATATACCGGCTGCACGTCTTTGATAACTCCAAGTGAGTTATCTTCACCAGACCTACGCACATTGACCAAAATTTCTGGGAGGAACCAAAGGCCTCCTTCACTGTCCCCACCTGTAACAAAAGCAAATTTCAAGACTTCATAAATTTGACACCCGATTATCTTATACAAAGATAATAAGGTAAAAGCAATGATCAATGAGCGAAACCAAGGTAGAATCATATCGTAGTGTACCTAAAAATGGGGACATCATATCCAAACCACCACTTCCAGGTGTCATCGGTTGCCCGCCAGGTGTCCAGGGCAAGTATGGACTTGGAGCATTTGCTTTTATAAAAAATAACAAAATTCATTTTAAAACCTAAATTGATGTCTGATTGCAAAATGTATGTAATATAATAACCAAATTACCATAGGCTGAACCACTATTATCCCTTGGTGTGCCTGCATCACCGTAATTGTTGTTTGGAGTATTTGTCCAACCCGAACAAGGAGTAGGCCCTTCGTAAGCTCGTGAAGGACTTCCTAGCTGAAAAAAAGTAACAGAAATTTGTTGGCATGTAAATACGTAAGTGAAAAATGTTCCTTATGAAAACTTTAAGTAGAAAAAGTTATACCTGATATTGTGGACTAGTTCCCCACGAACCAGGATTCCATCTTCCCAGTTGTCCCTGACAAATTCATTATGGCTATTTTATTGATTAATTCGCATAAAAAAAGAAAAGAAAAGAAAAGTGTGCATTTCTTGAATTTTATGATGTGTATAGTAATTACGATACGAATTTTTAGACAGCGGATAAAAATTAAAGGCGGTATCAGGCTTCTCATAAGGCCCATTTCTAGAAAATAAATATATTATTACCTTTGTGGACCCATTGGCGTGTAAGGATTCCATGCACGATTACGCATAGGTGACCTCATACCATCATGATGTGGAGTTGCTGCATTGAAATTCATTAGGACCAAAATATAAATACAGATCGAAACCAAAATGAGATTGTGCAGTGAGATAAAATAAAACCGATCCACCATCTATGACAAGCATACACAACATACCATACGCATCTCTCATAGGAGTCAAATACGGATGCAGTGGTGTTCAAGAAGGATGCATAGGGGTTCACTTCCCATTCGGTATCTATAAGTTTCCCTACAGACACAGAGCAGATCATAAAGCTTGAAATAAATTTTTTATAAAAAAAGGTTCTCCAATAAAATACCGACCTAAATGGTGTAGTAACATTGATGTTATCGGATATATAACTATGATCAACTGAGCAGCACGGATCACAATCAATATGTTATAAGGGGAAAAACAAAAAAGACAAAATTAAGAAAAATAAATAAATAAATGTATTTTGCCACAGCAAACAGGACGGGACTTGCCTGCAACAACCTTCATCTGTGACTCCAACTAAACCCGGACTGTGGAACCTTTGACATCTACTACACGTCCCTTGCATCCTGTGTAGTGGCCCAGCTGAATTTTACTAACAGCTCCAACAAAAGCTTCATGTACTTAATCTCCCTTAACCTCACCAGGGCAACATCAGGTCTCTTTGGAACATCCTTAAGGAGCAGGTAACAGCCAACATTCCAATTCAGGATAAAAACCATTAGTCTCTATGGTCTTCAAATTTGTGCCACTAACCTGAAAAGCTTCACTCTCAACACTTATGATTACACCAAAACTAGTGTCACTACACAATAATAGGTTTCAGATTATACAAATCAGAAAGAAAGAGGGGGCAATGCAAAAATAAAGAATAAAAGAAAAAGATAGCAAAGGAAAGAAAATTACTCAAGTAGCACAAGCTCATGAAGCTCATAATTCACCAATCAGATTTTTTTACCACCATTATAAATGTCAGCAAGACGACTCGTACCTCGGCATCCTAAGAAGCTCGTTGAAAAAATACAATAAAGAAGGAGATATACCAAAACTAAGAACTGAAATGTAACGTATGAAAAACGTTAAAAAAAATATTCGTAGTCAATAATTATCTCAACATCCATGCTATTTCATACATAGCAAGTAATGCAACTACGATTTTTATGCAAACTAGGCGAGGTAAGTGCAAACATTTGTTGGTTGCTGCTTCTTTCATAGTCTTATCCTTCATCATTTTGGGATATTCTTTTAGGTGCATTTGCAGTCTCCCAGTTCATACTCCTTGCCACAGATGTGACAAAAGTATGGACAATGTACCTTACACTTCGTTTTGAAGAAGTCATTCCTATGAAAAGGAAAATTTATTATGATTTCTCAAAACTAAAAAGGAAAACTCATGTAGTTTCTGAAAACTCATTAACCCCAATTAGAAAAATCAATCAACATTCAAATATCTTCACTGGGAACAACACCAGAGCAGTAATTGAACAAGCAGATCTACTCAAACCAAACAAAGTATCAGTAATTGAACACACAATTGATCTGACATATCTTGTAACAAGACGAAAATCTAATCAAATCGCCTAGGAATATAGAAAAATAATATAAACAATAACAAACTCGCCAAGAACATAAATCTCAAACTCGTGGAGAACTTAAATCTCAAATCTAACTTAGAAGGCAAAGAACAATAATAATAAGTCTAAGCTAAATTTTTTGTGATTACTGCTCTTATTTGAGATTTATGTTCTTTGCGAGTTTGTTGATTAGATTTGAGATTAAAATTCTTCGTGAGTTTGTTACATTACTTTTCCAAGCGATTTGATTAGATTTTCGACAAGACCAATTACTGTTACTTTTTTTGTTTGAACAGATATACTTGTTCTGCTTGTTGTGGTCTTTCTGGTGTTGTTTTCTGTGTTATTCCTAGTGAACTGTCTAGATGTCTGATAAATGATGGTTGAAGACATTTGAATTTTATTGATATTTCTAGGTGTTTGATTTATCATTGAGTTTTCCTTTTGGTTTTCATAAACCGTAATGAATTTTCCTTTTCAATTAGAAAAGTCTTCTTCAAAACGAAGAGGTTCAGTGTTCCATGCTTTTGCCACACATGCGACAAGGAGAATGAACTGGGAGACGAAATGCAAATGCCAATCAAAATATGTCCCAAATTGATGAAGGACAAGGTATAAAAGAAGCAGTCATGAAAAAGAAAAAGAAGGAAAAAGAAGGGAAGGAAGTAAGAAATAAGCAAGAAGACCGAAAAAATCCAAGTATCCTTTATTATTTGTATACTTATGTAATTCAACATAATTTTATTTCTTAATTGGCCAAGTTTTTGGACCCGACACAGAGCCAAACCCAGACCATGTGGGTCATTCAAACATGTTAACGAAAGACCTCGTGTTAACGATGGACACAATAACAGAACATAGCCACTTTACCTAGCTTCATCAATATTCATCAACCGTGCAGGAGGAGTAAATGCCTTTTTCTTTGGAACTTCCCGCCCTTCCTGCCATACACACAAAAGCTTGTCACCACCAACAACTGATATCATATGCACATATAATCAATGTTCACCTACGTCATTACACTAATACTATATAAAAGAAAAATTACAAATACAACCCAATTTGATAGCCAGGGCCTGCAAGTCAATCCTTGGGATTAATTTCACGGTAGCTCTCTGTCGCACATTGTCAACATCTACAACCTTGCATTTACATAAAACAGAACTTCCATGGTTCATTTCTGAAAAGAAAAAAAATGATAAAATAAAGAGATAGAAGAAACAAATGAAGCAGAAATTATACTTTGGCAAGATCCCCCTTATATATACCAATCTTCATTCTAACCCAGGTGTCCCTAGAAATATCAATTGCTTTGCTTTCAACCGAAAGAACATCTGTCATCTCCTTGATTGGGACGAGTATTTTCTTACTTGGATAAATATTTCGCATACCATTAACAGCCTGCAGTAGAAGAAACCAGATAATTTAACATCTACACACAAGATGAAAAAAAAAATAAAAAATTGAACTCTACGTATAGGTACATCATCATTCATAAAAAAAGCTGCTGGAGAAAACAAACAGAGGAATCTGAGGTTACATACCTCCCTCACATGAGCCTCTTTGTCTGCTTTTATGTATATGTAGTTTTTGAGATGATCGAGTGCTATGGCAGATCTAATTTGCATTTTGGGTCCTCTATCAATGCACTTTTGCATGAGGCAGACAGCTATCTCCCTTTCACGACCAATCTTTCACAAACAAGTGATTTACAATATTGGTTGGACATAAAGAAATTTGATAGTCTTTTCAACTCTTTTTAGGCTTGATTCAATAAAATGAAGCACCATATTATCATACCGCACATTTCACCATCCATAGTTTTGGGTCCCTCACGGATGGCAGTAGAGCTTGCTGTTCTACATCTGTAGCCTCCTTATCATATTCAACATTAAGGCTCCTAGCACCATATCTCTCATGAATTTGTCTCTCAATTTCCTCAACATCTTCTTGCTCATCCTCATGTGGAAGCAGGGGACGGCGATGCATTCGTCTATCATCCTCATCAGGTAAATCAGCCCCTTTATCAATGAAATCTATGTATGCAGAACCATAAAATCAGACCAAGAGTTGATGTAGAAGGTCATGAAGAAAAATTGTCCATCAAAGCAAAAAAAAAAAGTGGTAAGGAACCGTAAAAACTGCAGCCGGAAATTGCCTTAATTGTCAACAAGCACTGAACTATATAAGAAAACTGAGATAATAGAAGACAGGTACACAAACACCACATAATTCAAAAGCTTCCAAGCTAGAAAATTAACAAATAACACTATACCAACACTGACAACTAATACATGTGCACACCGGGACCAATAAAATCCATATTGTTATTTAATCCATTTCTCAAATACATAAGGTAAAATTAAAATATGAGAGTATGGATATCTGACCATAACTAAACCCCTAACTCCAACTTCTAACCACCTCATATAGTGGATTTGCAGATATGTCATACAATTTCAACTTTGTTCTTTGGATAACTGAAACACAAACCTAACAGATAAGCACCTACAACCAAATTTATACATCAACCCCGCCATATCTAAGATATAGATACCACCTACTCATACTTGATACTTTTCCTTTTTAGTCGAGTGCCTCAACTTTTTTCTATCTTGCTATGGATCTTATCACGAATCATTGCATTTTCATAAAAATAGAAGCTCTGATAGGCGATAGTCATATCAAATAGAAAAAATAAGAAAGATAAAAAGATAGGATGAATTGAACCTTCACTTAATACATACAGGTCATATTTTAAAGAGACATAAATATTGTGTAGAAAAACTAATAAATACAGACACCGACTTTATGTTCTACATGAATCAATGCGACATTTAGTGTGTATTTGTTTATCAATTATTTCAACTCATACTTAAAATCTAACTCAGCTTTAACCCAACTCCATTATCCTCAATATTATCAATATAATTAAATAACACTAACCAATCATTCTTTTATATCACATCAACTTTAATTCACTATTCATCCATTCACATAATTTTGACTAACTATCACTTCACATCATCTCTCTCATACTTTTATATCAAATTAACTTTAATTATTTTATTTTACATATTATTTTAATATAACTCAAAATCCCACTCACAAAAACTATACCAACTTTTTCAAAATTAACCGTAGTTAACCAACAAAACTCATTTTGAGCGGCTATATTTGTATCCAAATACGCCCTTAAGGTTCTAAATAGACTCTCATCATCTTGTACGTGACAAATAAGAGGGAAATAACCTATTTGACAATGTGGAGGGAAAAAACATCATCTGTTCGCTTTTTAAGGCATCTGAAGCAATATATATACATGACTCCATTTTATCTTCACAGGTTTCCCCTCCATGAGATATGCAAGCATCATAACTCTGATCTTTTTATTCCAAAATACTTGTAATGCAAACCTTTAAACACATGCTCCACAACTAAGGCTCCATCAACTGTACAAAATCATCTTAGGAGCAAAATAGAATATTCACTTATCAGTAATCAGAGTTCATTCTGCCATGACATCTAAAATGGACTCTAAGCAGAAAAGACACCCTTAATCCCACCCAACTAGAATTCCCCAATTAATAAACGCCACGCGCTCTCTTCTCCAGTTCTCCAATTAACATTTGAACCCGACTAACTTAGACATAAAATGTCAGGAAAATAAAAAAGGCCACCTTTACTTCCCCCGATTTCACTTCTATTGATCACTAAACTAAAGGCCCTAGCATTTCCAGTTATGCAGTCGATATTAAGAGCAAATCAACTCGAAATCCAATAACAAGATTGAAATCCCTACTGGGTAAAAGAGTAAAAATAAAAAAATAAAAATGAAAAGGAAAGGAGAAATGGATAAGAGCCCTAACCGTCTTCCGCTTCATCATCTTCATCCTCTTTCTCATCGCTATCCACAACTGCTTCGTCGTCAAAGAAGTCCATCGGACCCTTCCTGCGCTTCCCTCCACGGCCACGGCGGCCCCCGCCGTATTCCTCGTCCTCATCCTCGTCCTCGTCTTCCTCGGCGTACGAATCTATGTACTGCGATCCACCCCTCTGCGCTTCGTCTTCCCGCCGTCGTCCTCGTAGTTATCCTCCTCCTCGTCTTCTTCGTCGACGGCGTACTCCTCCTCCTCCGGCTCCTGGTCGTCGTCGTCCTCGTACTCGTCCCTACGCCGTGTCATTGCAATTGGACCTTCCTACGGACAGCTATGCGAGAGAAAGCTGAGAGCTTGAAATTTTATTTTATTTTTTTTCTTTTTTTGGTACAAAGCTTGAAATATTTTTGAGTATGAGAGTGATGGTGAATAGCAGTTTGAGTATTTTATTTATATTGGAAATGCGAATGCAAGATGATGGACTTAGGCCTATTATGTAATATGGGCTTTCTAAAGCATAACTGGGCCTCAATGTGTCGATCGGTCAATATGGCCCAGACACAAATTTCCACTTTAAAAAAATAAAATTACATCATTACCATCAAGTATCAATTTACTTTTACATTTATGAAGCTTTTATTTTAATGAAAATTTACTAACTTTTAGGTTTATGAACAGTTAATTTTTGGGTTACATTTTTGTCGTTGATTCTTAAAATGCATTTTTTTATGACTAGTTTATAAATGGTCTATGTATAATGTAATATTGAATATCATTATT